AGTAAAGTTCAGTTGTATTTAACTTAAATACCGTAAATGTGCTTTCTAGTACACCAAAAAGTAGACTACACATCCACTTAAAAATGTATCTGGATGCAGATTATTTTATTCTGTGTTAGCCACCTGACAAAATAAAATTGAATAAATTCAACGCACCATTTTTTTTTCAGCATAATATAACTATCTCTATCGCTTTCATTTAGGTCGGTCCCGCGGGCAGCCAGTTTGGCATCCTGGCGTGTCTCTTTGTGGAGCTCTTTCAGAGCTGGCAGATCCTTGAGCGACCATGGCGGGCGTTTGGAAAGCTCTTTGGCATCTCCGTATTCTTCTTCTCCTTCGGTTTGCTGCCTTGGATCGATAATTTTGCCCACGTCTGCGGTTTTGTCTCGGGATTCTTCTTATCCTTTGCCTTCTTGCCATACATCAGGTCGGTGTGGCTTTTGCATTGACAGACAAACTTTCTGATCAAAATAAATCCATCAATAAATGTATATTGCATTTCTCTGCTGTTTCAGTTTTGGGCGCTCAGACATGTACCGCAAGAGGGTCCAGATCTGTGTATTCCTGCTGGTTTTCGTAGCTCTGCTCTCCTCCCTGGCCGTCCTTTTCTACGTTTACCCCGTGAAGTGCGACTGGTGCGAGTACCTCACTTGCATCCCCATCACGGACAAGTTCTGTGAGAAGTATGACCTGAACGCAAACCTCCTTTGACTCACGTCGGCTGCTTCGGTTGCACCGCGGGTTCGTGGGGACACGGGTTGTGCCTCGGCGTTTGAAATGAAGAGATTCAAGTGCAAAATTTTTGCGAGACATTTTTGCAAGGTGCTGCCACCCTGTCTCACATGAAAAAAACTAAATTCAACCCAAAGGCTTTGAAGCACTTTGTTATTATGATATAATTAACGTAACTGTTTTGACCGATGACTCAAATGTTTTTTTTTAGTTGTACTCAGTGCTTGTAATGCGCAGTTTGAATCATGATGATCCAAAAAAGCACGCAATTGCACAAGTATTGAAGAAGACATATATGAACATTGTAAATGATGACTTTTTGCACAGATTTTTCAATTAAAAAAAGTATATTTCAGTATACAAAACCATGTAAAATATTCTTCCGCAAAAGTAGTAAAACAAACATAACATCACCTCTCTAATGCGAAAGTGATTCAACAGCATCCCTTAGTGGCGAAATTTAGTATTACAACCTACCCCCTGATCTGAAGG